AGCCCCCGTGCCTCCGGACCCCAGCCGCCGGAGCAGAGCAGCTGGAGCCCGGGAAGGGAAGTGCCCGGCCGGCGGCGCAGGATCCGGAGGCGTGGGGGCTGCCCGAAGCCCGAGCGCTTCATGGTTTGCCGGGCAGCCTCCAGACCCTGCACCCCCGGCTGGGAGCTTCCCCTCCCAGGCTCCAGCTGCGCTGGGGAAGTGCCGGCTGGGGGCGCAGGGTCTGGAGGCTGCCCGGCAAACCGTTAAGCCAGTAGCGCTCGGGGAGCCCTTTTCGCGTGGCTGGGAGGGAGGAGGGGGAGTTAGGGCGGGGACTTTGGGGAAGGGGCAAGGAAGGGTGGAGTTGGGGCGGGACCAGGGGTGGGAAAGGGGCGGGGCCAGGGCCCGTGGAGTGTCCTCTTCTTTTATTTTTTTAAATATGGTAACCCTAATACAAGGTGAATGAGGATTTCAACTGAATCTGGTCCTAAACTATTTTTCCACAGCTCAATTGGCTGGACAACCTAACATTGCAATTGCAAAGCCAGTTGGCTTCACTAGAGAGGAATAGCTACTGCTCTAACTGGACACCTGAAATGGAATCGGTCTAGCACCCTGAGAATGCCCATGTTTGTACATCAGGTTTTTATTTACAGTTGAGGCATTAAAATAGACTTCACAGTTGATCGGTTCTTCTAGACCTGTGGAATTAGGCACTCTAAGTACCTTAGTATTTGGAGTATGATAGTGCAGATACTACAGATGGCAAAACAAATAATATAGATACAAATAAATTGTGATAAACCAATTCTTTTTATTTTTCAGTGGAAGTTTTGAGTTTGTGTTGCTACAGACAGACTTGCCGTAAATTTGTTGCTGCATTTATATTTAATATGTTTAAAAGAGGGATGAAATAGACTTTAGACATGCTGGTGAAATATTTATAAAACCACAAAGAAGCTATGTAACTGGAAGAGAGGAAAATAAAATAGCTCACACATGGGATCAAATATACAAGTCTAACTTTTAACCTGACAGTTTCCCCACAATGCAACTGAGTACACTGCCAGCATGTCACAGATCTGCAACACCTGAGCTGGAAGGGGGGGAAAAAGTGATTAAAAGAGGGTGCAATAACGTAATTCTGTCCTTAACACATTCATCCCAGTATACTCCTGCAGATCTGTTCCAAAACAAAGGCATCCTTAAAAGTACAGCCCTCCTCTACTTCACAAGAGTTTCTAACAAGTTTCTCCCCTTCACGAAAATATCAGCAAAACATTTTTTCCAGGATGGCACTAAAGTTCAGGGTTTCTTCCCTCCCTTTCTCATTATTTCAATATATTTAAGTACTACAGATGAAAATTTCACAAACCATATGTTACAAAGAGCAACTTAGATATGGCATTATAACAATGTCCAGAAAGTCTATAAGCCCGAGGTAATGTCACCAAGTGAATGCTAATTATGGTGGAAAAGACACTATATGGACACCAATTCATCGAGTAGTAAATGTGATAATAGAATCCACTGATCCTTTCTCAGTGTTCTCTCTTCATTTTTTATATATTAGGGTAACCAATGTCCTGATTTTATAGGGACAGTCCTGATATTTGGGGTTTTTTCTTATATAGATACCTATTACTTCCCACCCCCGTCCCGATTTTTCACACTCGCTATCTGGTCACCCTATTATATATACACACGTACATAAGTTAAGCACATAAGTGCTTTGCTGATTGCGGACTATAATTCTATATCCTGCTATTTCAAAAATACAGAACATAGGAGCTTATTCAAATCCTATGGCCTAGAACAATACTGCCATATTGCCTGTGTATATGGGTAGTTGCAATACCAACCTTAGTTCTGAATTTCTCTACATTTCTGATTTTGCAATTCTTACAGCTAAATTAAAAACACGTTTACAACAATATCTGCCATATTGCTGCAAAATGTGAAGATCTGAACTGTGTGTATTGATAATTTTAAAATATGTTGAGGGTTAAAAGACTGAAATACTTACCTACACCTGCTATTATTTTATAAAGATGATTTGCTGAAAAATGGATTAACAGGAGCAGAAAGTCAACTGTGACCAAGATTATGCAAAGGATAACAGAAACCCATTCTTGCAACCGTTTACCTAAAAAAGAGAAAAAATAAGAAAAAATAAATTTAGTGCAAACTGACTGGAGAGGAGGAAGGAGAAGGACACCGTGGAAGAAGGTGGTGGGAAAAAAGTGAAGGAGAAAAAGAAGAAAAAACTACAAGTATATTACAAACACTGTTTGTCCTACTAAAAAACTATTCATCCTTCTACTGTGATTCCTTAGTAAATCTTGCCCAGAACACAGGCGTTAAAGGTATGCAAGTGAGTGGATCATAAGAAACAGAAATAACCAATTGCAGTCAGCAAAGTCTTCTGCTCAAGGTCTAATGTTTATAGCGAGGAAAATAACACTTGGGTTTGGAACCTGACCATCCCAAGGAACTCTCCCATCTTGAAAGCAGTCAGCTGCTAGCCTTTCCTTTGGGCACCTGCATAAAGAAAGGATTAGCAGAGCTGAAGTTAACCTGTGGAGCAAGGTAGTGCTCAAGCAATCCGTCAGAAGACGGAGAATAAGGCCTCAGTCTTGCCCAGGGATCCAATGTACTTTTCCTGTCTTTTCAATACGTGAGGTATTTTCCAAGAAGCTGTGAGAAGAGAGACAGCTTGCTTCTTTGCTTCATTAGACCTTAAGAAGCCCTCATCATAAAAGTGGACTAGCCTCTGCCCTCAGTTTATCATCTCTCTCTCAGGAGGTCATGGAGGAAAGTGCTAGGACTCAGTCATTAAAATTGTGTTTTCTACTCCTTTTAAATAATTTAAATCCTAAATAAATAAAATTTAGCATGTGAGACAGTGCATCAGGTGCAAACCCAAGTGTCAACGTAGGCTACACATGGGGTCTTTTGCAGTGTCATGGTACCAAATCTTGTCTTGCCACAGTTTAGTATCACCTCAGATTACCTACAGCAGAGGCAAGTGCCACAAGCTTCAGCTGTAAAGACTCTAGCACAGTAAAGGCTCTTACATTTGCATGGCCACCCGCAGCTCCCAGTCGCCACGGTTCGCCATTCCCAGCCAATGAAAGCTGCGGGAAATGGCGGCCAGCACATTCCTGTGGCCCACACTGCTTCCCGCAGCTCCCATTGGCCAGGAATGGTGAACTGCGGCCACTGGGAGCTGTGGGTGGCCGTGCAAATGAAAACAAACTGTCTGGCGGCCAGCCGGTGGATTACCCTGGCAGGCCACAGGTTGCCCACTACTGTTCTAGCACCTGGCCAACCCAAATATGCACTCTTCCACTGCCTTCAACTCCACGTTCTGCCCTGGGCCACAGACATCCTGCTTCCGAGATTCACTTCTCCCACCTGGCCTCCTAACTGTCACAGAGTCTCCTCCTGGGTTTATGGCCCATCTTCCACCTCAGCTGGAGGTTTAGAGGAGCATAACGACCACCATTAGCAGGCTCCCCAGACGGCTGTCTGCTGACCAGACACTGTTCAGCTGATTCAGCTCACCAATCCACAAGGCGCCCAACCCTAAACTTCCAACTTCCACCTCAGATACATCTCCCAAGCCGTTCAAGACAGCGGAGCTAGCCATATTAAGGCCTGCAGTCGATTTAGCTGATTTAAATTACTTAAAAGGGGCATAGAATTTAGAAACCATCCACAGCTGGTGTAAAATCAGCATGTCATCTTTGAACTCAATGGAGCTAGCCCGATTTACACCAACCAACGATCTGACCCCAGGATTAAATCATCAAAAATCTTAATTCTCAGGCAGACTCAGAAAGTGATGACAAACTGAGGGCAGTATCAGAGGGGTAGCCATGTTAGTCTGGATCTGTAAAAAGCAACAGCGAGTCCTGTGGCACCTTTAAGACTAACAGATGTATTGCAGCATAAGCTTTCGGGGGTGAAAGAAGTATGCGTCTGACGAAGTGGGTATTCACCCACGAAAGCTTATGCTCCAATACATCTGTTAGTCTTAAAGGTGCCATAGGACTCTATTATTAATTAATGTCAGTATTGACTTTGAAGAAGTGCACAGAAATTAGTTAACTCTTTTCAGAAGGTCTCCTACTGACTTGCTGGAAATGTAAGGGTCCAAATAGCCACCTCTCCTTATTACAGTGCCACCAGCTGACTCTTTGTACAACCCCAGTTACTGAATTCAGGCTATTTAAAGAAGGCTTCATAGAAATTGAGAACTTGATTCTGCTCCCTTTGACTTCAATGGTGCATGATCGAGCCTTTTAAGGTTGTGGTACGCCAAGTTAAAATGTCAATGTTGCAGATACCTATTAAGAAATTTAGAAGCTTTTAATTGCATAAGAACCTATAAGCACTTTAGCATAGAAAGCTGGCACCATTAATGTCGGGCTAAACACAGCGTAGTAGAATCAACCTTCAAATGCACATGACAATAGTTTTTGGGTTTGGAAAAGTTCTGACATCGCATATAGCATATTGACAACTCTCACAGCGCGTACTATAAGCAATTCTCTACTGGCCCAATCTACTAAAATGATTTATGCACCAAAAGTTTAACTGTACAGTAGGGAGACTGCTGCACATTTGCTCCCTCACAAAGAACTCTTGTCATTCAAGTCACTGGTACAAATGCCGTTCGGGCAGATTTTCGACTGGTAAGAGATTTAGAGTTTTAAAATAAACCCACCTTCTTTCAGTGCAAAAAGACAACAAACATACTATATGGAATGTATACCATTTCTTGTGCACAAACAAATATATTTTATGGCAATCACATCACAAAAACACCTCACCAGCATTAAATAAGAGACCTGCCATAACACAACCTGTTTCTTACTCCTCAGAGTGATTAAAATATGATTTTGCCATATTGAAGCACTTTCACCCCTCGCAGTCAGCAAGGCCTTCCCGCTTCACCGTATTCACAATGTTTGTTTTAACAGATTACCTGCATGCCTGTCAATATGTTGATGAACAAATATAGGAGCACTTATGATTAAGATGCCTCTATTCTACTACATTAAAATAAATACTTACAAGGAAATGTGTTCAGGTTTGTTTTGGTTTCGGCTCACTGTTTCATTTGGGAAAAGAATACATGAAGGCAGGGGGCTGGACTCGATGACCTTTCAAGGTCCCTTCCAGTTCTAGGAGATAGGATATCTCCATTAATTTATAATTTATAAATTTTACATAAAATTACTGAAAACGTTTTTGTGTTTCCTACTTGCAAATATAGAAAAACTTCTGTTTGAAAGGCCTGATTCTGCAGACTGTCTGCCCTCAAAACTTCCCACTGATATCCTGATCGGACACAAGCTACTCATATGACCATTTATGGATGTAACAGAAATTCAAGAAACGTTGCTAGAATAAGCAGATACCAAAAATATGGAGTTGTTTGTTAGCAAGTAGAATTTATACCAATGAAGAAACTATCTTCCACCATTTTGTACATTTAAGTCATCTTGAAACATCCAGTAACTTTAAAATTAGAACCTGTCAAGAGATATTTTCCATTTTATTTTGTCTAAGCAAGTTTCTCTCATTTTAGGGTCTCCACCGATTTTCATAAAGTTTCCAATAAAAATGATTTTGTTGACGCTACAATAAAACGGGGTGACAAACCCACAATTGAAAGCCCATGAAATAGCAGAATTACATGGGATTCCAGTATAGCTGTGAACAGGGAACTGCGCAATTTGCTACCAAACCCCTTTCTCTCACCCCTCCAATCCTGTACCCTTTTACCCTCTGCATCCACCTTCTCCCCTGTTGAAATCAAGAATGCAGAGTAGATATTAAAATTAACTAATACAGTAAGTGAACTGAAGAATTAGTGTCAGTCTAGCAAATTAAACAAGGGAATAACCTAATTTTTCCCCATTTTTTCCTTTTTTATTACCAACAAATTAGAGGGCTCCAGTAGATTTTATCAAATACTGAGCTCGCCACTCTCTTTCTCAAGCTGTATAAATGCCTTTAACTCCCAAAAGAACATCACCATTCCTTAGCCCCATGTAGCTCTCTTTCATTTACCCACTTCCACAGCACCATTTTCAAAGATTTGTTACAGCCAAAGGGAACAAAGTGGAAATCCTGAAAGGATCTCTGCAGATTTTTCCAGAATTTTTACTCTGCCCCCTCCACCAACTGTCCATAAGACCTCAACTCCCCTGCTGCCTATATCCTTTATGGATGACTCCTAAGATACTTAAAGATTAAAACAAAGGACAAGCCTCACAAGTCTTCCACAGAAATGCCAGCCATAATAGTTTAGTCACACTATCTGAACACAAAAGGGAAGCCTAACCTTACCTTTGAAGTTGCAAGCCTTAGTCCATTCCAGAAAACAGAAGATAGGCACGACACAAAACATTATATAATTTATTTTATTACCTACACCCATGCAGACTCACGCTATACAATCTGAGCAGACACACTAAATACAAAAACAGGTCTCACCTATTAAGTTCAATATGTTTTATTTTTTTTAAATAGTATTAAGCTATGTTAAAATAAAATTTATAAACATCTTCATGGAGCAACATTGCAAACACGTAGGAAATAAGAAAAATGTCTCTTTAATGCACAAGCCATTCAAAACTGGGCCCCAAGTGTTGTGAGAGGCTCACTACAATAGATAGCCTGCAGGCGCCTTTAGAACTGTCCAGGCATGGAATGTAAAAAAGAACGACAGTGCTTCTATAGTAGCATCAATTCCAATTGAAGCAAAATAATAGGAAAGAGCACAATATTCTACACTTGTATCACAAAAGGCTAAATCTCAAATATTTGTGTACGGTCACTCAGCCAGATGCTAAAAAAACAAAAAACAGTCATATGTATTTTTTAAATATGATCAAATTTTGCAAACTGCAGACTTCTAATTCACATATGTCTAAGTGATGGCAATTATTTTTTCCCCCTTTAAGAGACCATTTGCTTTCCTTTCAAATGAGCCATAATTTCTAACTATTCCCGTGGTGCATTTTAACCTAAATAAATCTGTGCAGGTATGCTTTTGTAATCACTTATTTTGCAGTGTACTAACCTCTACTATGGATTGTACATAGATATGAGATTAACTGAGTGTATATA